TTTATATTGCTTCCTTTGATACGTACGTAGCTCGTAGCTCGTGATGCCTTTCGCGCAGCTTGTTCTGGGCAGCCCAGGTGCTGGAAAGAGCACCTATTGCGATGGCAGTAAGTAATTCATATTGTCCACTGCGTTACTAAAGGTTCCGTGTATATATACATAACTCGAATCCTAACCTTTTTATTCACAGTGCAACAGTTCATGAGCGCGATAGGTCGCGAATGCTCAGTCGTAAACCTTGACCCCGCCAACGACAAGTTCAACTATCCTTGCGCCTTAGATATCCGCGAACTCATCACTCTGGAGGAGATTATGAACGATGACCAGCTTGGTCCGAACGGCGGTGTATTATACGCATTTGAGGAGCTAGAGAACAACATGGAATGGCTAGAGAAGGGACTTAAGGAACTAGAAGATTCGTATATCCTCTTCGACTGCCCCGGCCAGGTTGAGCTTTACACACACCACAACTCACTGCGGAATATATTCTTCAAGCTCCAGAAGCTCGGTTATCGAGTATGTTTGAATGCCGACGACCCCTTTTGACACTTGTTTGCTGACAAGAAGCAGCTCGTAGCTGTCCACCTCTCCGATAGCTTCTGCCTTACGCAACCATCCCTATATATCTCCAATCTAATACTGACCCTTCGCGCCATGCTCCAAATGGACCTTCCACACATCAACGTCTTGACCAAAATAGATAAAGTCGCTTCGTATGACCCGCTGCCATTTAACCTCGACTTTTATACCGAGGTAGAAGACCTATCCTACTTACTATCTAACATGGAGGAAGAATCGTCGATAATGCGCACCGATAAGTTCCGTCGACTTAACGAGGCGATCGCAAATCTCGTCGAGAGCTTCGCGCTGGTCCGCTTCGAAGTCTTGGCTGTGGAAAACAAGAAGAGTATGATGCACCTGTTGCGGGTGATAGATCGGGCTGGTGGTTATGTCTTCGGTAGCGCGGAGGGGGCCAACGACACCATATGGCAGGTGGCTATGCGCAATGAGGGCTCGATGATGGAGGTCGGGGATATCCAGGAGCGCTGGGTCGACTCCAAGGATGCATATGACGCCGCCGAGCAAAAGGAGGAAGAAGAGCAGCGGAAGTTGATGCAGGGTGGTGACACCGGGGCGACAACGCCGGACCTCATTCCGGATGACGACGATGACGAATTCGATGGGATGCCACCACCAACAGGAGATAGTGGAGTTACGGTAGTTAGGAAAAGGACATGATATCCTCTCATCCGTCGCTTACCACGTCGCTTATTTCTCCCATCTCGATATCGCTATCATTATCTTCAACGCCCAGTGGATCTGACCTTGTACCTCCTCGCCGTGGTCGTTCGGATTTTCCGAATATGTTACCCAGCGGATCGCTAACCTTCTCTTTGCCGTCGTTCTCGGCCGCGAAAATAAGATCCCGAGCTCGACGAATGGCCTCTTCCTCGGCTTTTCGCATGGTGCCGCTCACATGGACCACACGGAAGATGCACGGATCCCCGTTCCTGATGGGGATCGAGTTCATGAAGGTGAGCGCGGCCCATACTATCCGGTACGTCGATCGCGAGGTTCGTAGGATGAAGGTCGAGGTGGCAGCAGAGAAATATTTGACTGGTAGGGTAAAAGTAAGCCTTTTAGGCCCTGACAGACAGCGCGCGGACTGGCTTACCTGACAAGCTGCCTCCTTCGATGGCCCCCGATCCGTAGTCTCCAAATAGGCTGGCTACCTCGTCGCGTATACCTCTGAGGAGAGCCCCAGGATGGAGCTGATCGCTTGTAGGTTGGTTAAGGAGTACGACGTCGGGGACGTCGGGGCGGGTGCCGAGCTCCTCGGGGTAGAGGATCTTGACTAGGAGGTAGCGCTCTTTGATTCGGACCATTGCGCCGAACCTTCAAGAAGTACTCGCGACAAAGCTATTCGGAAATTGTTTTGCGTACAAATGGAGTGATGCTTTGCGGATGAAGAACCACGGGCCTTCGTTTGATATCGGAAATTTTGAGCTTTATCTTATCAGAGTATGTGGGGTATCCCTGTCAGCTTTACATACAGGACATACAGGACATACAGGACATACAGGACATACAGGACACACAGGCACAACACAGTGTATCCCGAAGTCTTAACAAGCAATACTGTGTGGCATAACTCATAACCAGGAACATCTCGAGTCACAAGCCTGAGGTGCTAATCGACATATTTATGAGAATAAAAATTTCTATGTATGTATTGATTCGTTAATCTACCAATCTTATAACTTGGCGCTTCTTATTGCAGATGAAAGTCAAATCGGTAGAACGGGAGCTGCTTGTAAAGCTAAAGCTAAAGATGTTGCATTCAGGCCCCGCACTCGGACTCATATCTCGACCCGCTCGGCTTCACTTACATCACTTACACTGAACATATTGCTCTACTCGCTGAATAATGATCTCTCAACTTTTGTACATTTAAATCTCGTAGTAATCTTAAGGTTAAACCTCTACTGGCATTTTCCAACCTTACCTAACTCACCATGTCTCATGCGACCCTAAGAGTCGCACTACTTATCGTCTCCACGACAGCAGCCCGGGACCCATCCACGGACGCCTCCGAAGGCGTGCTGAGCGACGTACTCGAGAAAGAAGGCGACGGAAAATGGAAGCTTGTCGACACCAAGATCGTCCCCGATGTTGTCACTCAGATTCAACGGCAGATTATGCTATGGGCCGATGTTGCGGCGGATACCATCAACCTGATCCTAACGACGGGAGGTACCGGTTTCGCCGTAGCCGACAACACCCCGGAAGCTATCTCGGCACTGCTTCATAAGCCCGCGCCGGGTATCGTTCATGGAATGCTAGCGGCTTCTCTGAGCGTCACGCCGTTCGCCATGATGTCCCGCCCGGTCGCGGGTGTGAGAAATAAATCCATAATCGTCACGCTCCCGGGCTCACCGAAAGGAGCTCGCGAGAACTTACAGGCGATACTGAAGACGCTGCCGCATGCCTGTCTTCAGGCCGCCGGCGTGGACTCAAGAACGTTGCATGCCGGCGGAGTAAAGAAACTTGAGGCAGAGGCGGGTATAAGATCAGGGGGAAACGGAAGTCATGTACCCGCTCATGACCACCACCAGCACAGCCATGATCACAATCATGGGCACGGCCACGGTCACGGTCACAATCACGGCCATGGCCACGGAAACTTGGTCAGGCACACGGCGCCTAGTTCCAACCCCATGTCCAACGACCCAAGTCTTGGCCCTAGCCGGAGAAATAGAGAGTCGCCATTCCCAATGCTCTCCGTCGACGACGCCCTAGCCCAGATCAAAGAGCAGACACCACCACCAGAAATTGTCACGACCAAAGTCGATAGGTCGCTACCCGGCCACGTGCTCGCGGAGGATGTACATGCGCGGGAAAACGTACCGGCCTTCAGGGCGAGTATCGTCGACGGCTACGCGGTGGTCGTGCCCAAGGACGGGAACATGAAGGGCGTATTTCCCGTAGTCTCGGTGTCACATGCCTCGCCGGGCGAGGTGGAGCCTCTCAAGGAAGGCGAGATCGCTAGGATCACGACTGGGGCGCCGTTACCACCGGGAGCCACCTCTGTGATCATGGTGGAAGACACGATTTTGAAGACTATGACGGACGACGGCAAGGAAGAAAAGGAGGTGGAGATTCTCGCGGATGATGTCCGGGAGGGTGAGAATATCCGCGAGGTCGGCAGCGATATCGAGGCGGAGTCGACGATCCTCAGTAAGGGGGAGCAGATCTCGGCAGTTGGTGGAGAAATCGGCTTGCTTGCTGCGGTCGGCGTGGCGGAAGTACAAACGTATCGGAAACCTGTTATAGGCGTACTGTCTACCGGAGACGAGATCGTTCAGCACGATCGGCCCGGCGATCTGCGACTAGGCGAAGTGCGCGACACTAATCGCATTACGTTGATGTCCGCGGCAGCAGAGTGCGGTTACGAAGTTGTGGATTTAGGTATCGCAGCCGACAAGCCCGGAACCTTGGAAGAGACGCTCCGAGATGCCTTACGGCGCGTCGATTTCATCATCACCACGGGCGGAGTGTCGATGGGCGAGCTGGACCTTCTGAAGCCAACCATCGAGAGGTCTCTAGGGGGCACAATCCACTTCGGTCGTGTCGCTATGAAGCCCGGAAAGCCGACAACATTTGCCACCGTCCCAGCCAAGAACAACGCCGGCGAGCGTGTAACCAAGGCTATATTCTCCCTGCCGGGCAACCCCGCGTCAGCAATCGTCACATTCCACCTATTCGTCCTGCCGTCCCTGCACCAGATGTCCGGCATCACCCCAGTGGGCCTGACGAAGGTACCGGTCACGCTGGCCCAGGACTTCGTGCTTGATAAAACGCGGCCAGAGTACCACCGTGTTGTCGTCTCAGTGGATAAGCACGGCAACCTAGTAGCCGCTAGTACAGGCAAGCAGCGGAGTTCGATGGTAGGCAGTCTTAGAAGCGCGAATGGCCTCCTGTGTCTTCCTAGTGGAAAGGAGCCTCTAAGGAAGGGATCGAAAGTCGATGCCCTCCTTATGGGCGGTATTAGGAGCGAACTATAGTCATTTTCGCAATGCCTCCACACTCTTCAGAGTGTGTCGACATGGTTTAGGTAGATAAGCAGATATTATGGATTTTATCTGTATGTATAACTTCTTATGAACCTCTATAAGTATTTAACGTAATAATTCGCCTCGGGCATGCCTCATCCAGATTCACACGTATGGAATTGGGTCTTGAATACGCAACTCGAGCTACAGCCGGCTAGGCTCTCATCGCGAGTCTATTCAGCTCGTCCCCAACCCAACTCTTATACGGCACTGTACGCAAACAAGTCCGAGCAAATGTTTGCCCCTTTTGCTAACGGTGCCTAAGGCACGAGCGGGCCCGGAAGCAAGTGGGTTTGCCTGGCTCCCGCTTAATTAGGGCCACCGATTGAGAGTATGAGTGGATACAAGGTGACAAGTTTTCATCGGGCAGACAAATGAGTCTTATGAGGGCTTGTGGTTTAGTGGTATAATACTCCCTTAGCATAGGCGGATGGCCTGTTCAGAGCAGCTTCCGTATAAGCTTGGGAGTGGTCCGGGGTTCGATTCCCCGCGAGTCCATCATTTGAGAGGTTAGAATCCTCTTTGTACCATCCATTTTTCGCTTTTATTTTATTTAGTCGAGGAAATACTTTTTTAAACGAGTTGGATCAGTAGCGTCTATCTGAGAAGGTGTATCTATTGCATTAAAATATTCAACCTCTGTGGAAACTTTGTTCGGGTGATTCGTGAGATTATAGCATCGTTGCTTCGTTTATGACAGTTCCCTAACATTCTATACTGGCTCCTGGCGCCTCAATGCAATAAGTATGGGCTAAACAATCTGTAATAATTCAAGACGGCTCCTGGTCGTATTCGTAGGCCTAGATACTACGCACGGATTCGTAGTTTCCTATATGGATGATATTCGAATAAGTTACTCTAGGACAGGAGGACACGTGCCGGCTTCCTCGTTCCGCGGGTTAGACATGGTCCTCCTCCTTGCCGCCGTGCCGTTGTCTCCCACGACGGCCTGGACATGCTTCCTCGGCACCCAGAAAAGCTGCACGGTTCCCACCACCGCAACGCCGGCGCAGCTCCACCAAGCGGCAGCGGAGCCGCCGGCGCTGTAGATTATGCCGACCAGAGGCGGAGATATCGTTCGAGCTAGGCAGCAAGCCGACATGGCCAGGCCGTTGACTTTGCCCAGCATCAAGGGCGACGGGGTAGCATCCTTCAGGAGGATGAGCGCGCAAGGGATTACGATGATTCCGAAAAGGCTCTGCAGGGTAAGCGAGAGGTATATCCCCGTAGATTCGAGGGCGGGAGGCCACGCCGAGAGGAAGGGCATCACCACGTATGCTAAAGGGTAGAGGACGATGCTGAAGACGAACGACTTCCAGACACCGACGTAGTCGACGAAGATGGGGAATATGATCGCCTGGATGAAGAGCCCAAGAATGCCGTTGATGGCCAGATAGACGCCCACGTCATGCACGGTGTATCCCAGACCACCGATCAAGTCGATCTCGCCCGGCGGCGCGGCCGGCTTATCTAAGAGGTGCGTCGGCAGGAGGGTGCAGAACCCCATCTGGTGGAACGAGATCAGGACCAGTGCGGTCGTGACCATGATAATTGTGAAGTTATAAGCCCGGCCTTGGAAGTTCTCGTCGTCCGTCGTAGCCGAAGGCGGTAACCTGATCGAGCGCACCGTGCCGAACGACGAGCGCCTGAGATCGAAGTTCTGCTCCATCGGCACCGGAAGACTTTCCTCGACGAAGACCGGCCTATCAATCGTAGCCCACGAGCCCCTACGCGCGGACGATCTCCGGCGCTTGCGACTGTGAAGCGGGGTGCGCTCGTCGATCGGTTCGTCGTCGTCCTCGAAGACGGTCTCGTGGGAGGCCTCGCTGTCTCGGGGATTCGTCTCCTCGAGGAAGAGCATGCCCTGGATGATTGCCAATACGATGACTACAACGGACACGAGGTTAGGTAGGAGGTAGGGGTACCTTCCGAAGAGTCCGTCGGCGGGAAATAGCGAAGGGTAAAATATCGCGGGCTGAGCTAGAAAGCCACCCATTGCAGAGCCAATGATGCCACCTAAAGTCCACACGAACGGTTGAGTAGCGTAGGCTTTCGGCTCATGCTCCGGGTTCTTTACCATCTCCGCTACCATCGTTTGCATTACCTACGAAAAGGGTAAGTAAAGTAATTGTTGAAGCATTCTTTGGAATGCAGCTATCGCTTGCATGCATTATCACTGGAGGGTAGAAAGGTGATGCTTGGGGCGTGAGTGATAGGATGAAAAACTTAACGAACCGCGACATTCCCGTTCAGGGCCCCGCCGATGAACCGTGCTAGCAATGCAACCCAGTACTCGGTAGCCAATCCGAAGATGAGGCTCGAAACGGCCACGCCCCCAAGCCCGAAGAGGACGACCGGCTTCCTGCCGTAGCGGTCGGAGAGGGCGCCCCAGCCAATCGCGGTCAGGGCCTCGGCGACGGCGTACGCCGAGACCAGGAGACCGGCGTAGAAGGACGCATCGGTATCGTCACCTCCGTGCAGGTCCCGCACCATCACATACGTGTAGGCGAGGATGGAATTGAAGGCGATCGGCTCCGAGAAGCGACATATTGCTGTTGATCACACATTGCGGTCAGGATCTTCGGAAAAAAAAAAAAAAAAAAAAAAAAAAACAAGATCAACGCTTGCCAGGGTGTTTTTTCTTTCTTTCTTTTAGTGTTGGAGATAGGTAGGGGTCTGCGCACCTAGGATCGTGAGTTGCTTGGTTGGAAAGGCATGTGAATTCGGATCTTGTGTTTGGTCTGAAGGCATAGTCTGTCTGCTCTGCTCTGCTCCAATTGCACGATACGATAACGGCCTTCTAGATTCGATAGAGCAGCCGAGGGTTCTCAAAGCTCTAGTTGTTGGAGAAGATTGCTGATCGCACCCCGGCTTTTGGCTTTAAGGAGGCGGTCTGTTTTCTGTTTGGCTCTGTGCGGGGAAGCGCGCGCGCTTTGCGACCAGCTGCGACGTCGGCCGAAGGCACGGGATGTCGATCACTCGTTGAGACTTTGGAGTTTCTCGGCAGAGCACCCCGTGCGGTATTTTACTATTAAGAGGGAGATGACACTATTAGTCGTACGGCCCGCGAGGATCGGGGTTTTCTCAATATTCTCATATTCTCGTACTGCCACGAAAGCATATTCTTGAAATGAATGCCGGGGCGTGATTGAAGAATGCGCAAAGGATGAAAATTTTCGCGATATCTTAGCTCCGGGATTGACGAAAGCATGCGATTCAGAAAAGCATACGATTCAGGGAAGCATACGATTCAGGAAAACATGCGATTCAGGTACTCGCGGCAGACTTCAAAAGAAGGGCCAATCATACGTCTGCGATAAGTAATGTTCATAATCAACTTTCTAGGAAATAATTGAAAATCTAGAACTACTAACAGTTGGCTTTTATCACACCCGCTGCCAGTATCTTCCTATTGATGTGCGCTGGTACAGCAGTCCTTGAAGCAGGGCGTTCAAAGTGTGCAGTACGATGTTGCCATTTGCCTCGCAATAAAGTTGCATAGAGAGAAACCCGCCTCTGACGACGTCCCTGACCCGAAAGGACTTTAAGTCTTTGACCTCATTTCGCATCTTCTCTATGTTGCATCAAAGACAACGAAAAGGACGAGAAACATCATCAATAATTAGTTGTTAACAGTATCTAGAAGGACTAAGAGGTGAGGTGGGGAGATATATGATACCATTTGATGACGGATGACGTAAGTATTCCATGGCACTCTACCAGCTCAGTGATTTGCTTCTCTTTTGATTACCATAGCGCTATGTAATATTCTCGTGAGGCGGAAGAGACGAATGGCTGCTGCTAAAGGTCCACCTGATTCCAGACGCGAAGGACCGGCAGAGTTAGGCAATCCATCCATTGCCTCACCAGATGTCCAACGTCAATAGAGCAATACCAGAGTTGGGTAATCCGTTACCTCATCAGGTGCTTGGCTTCCACGCACGCACAGGGTTAAGTACGACGACTTCATATTACGAAATGCCCGTACCTCACGTTTCCAAACGATACCTTAGGCACCTCAGACATACATAGATAGGCTAGGTACCTAAGGTATGGAAACACGCCGTCGGCTAATAAAGCGGCGAAGATGGACATCTACTAGTGAATTAAGAAATCTCCTGGTGTCCGAAGTTCAGGTAAAGCAGACGAACTAGTTACGCATGCTGTTTATCGTAACGATATTGTTAAGCGCCGTCGATATATCCGCCCCCTGAAGCCCCGAGAGTGGCATAGAAGAGGTCCTCCTCGGCCAGAATAACCATGCGCCCGTCGCCAGCGAAATTGAAGTTTGCGGAGGTCTTGCCGAGGAAGATCTTCCCGATGAGCTTTCCCGACGGGTTCCAAACCTGCACGCCGTCCCCGCAACCAGCGTAGACATTGCCATTGCTGTCGCAGTGGATGCCTGCAAGAGCTCTGTTAGCCATTTTGCCGCTTTTCTCGTCGAGTCTGCATCGCATCACGTACCGTCGGGAACCCCGGCATCGACGTATGCGAAGAGCTTACGATTATCCCACGTGCCGTCCTCTTGAACGTCAAAGCGGTAACTGCGGATTTGATTAGCGCTTGGTCCTAGACATCCTTGATTCGACCATAATTTCTCACATGCTTGCCGGGTTAGTGAAGTTCCAACCCCAGAAACCGTGAAAAGCGCCGGTATCAGTCACGTATGCATGTGAGCCATCAGGCGAAAACGTTAGCCCTGCATGAAGTAGAGCATTAGTGTAGCACGTAACACGAGTGCGGAGTGTCTCGGAGAGGCTATCGTACCGTTAGGAAGATTAAATCCGTCCGCGACGGCGGCGACTGCGCCCGTCTTATCGTTATATATGTATACTTGATTCCGAAGACCCGGAGAAGGGCGAAAGTCTTGCAGGTATCCATAGAGAGTATCGGTAAAATACAGCTCCTTGTTGCGAGGGTTGACAGCTACGTCGTTTAGGGAGTTAAACTGTCGGCCGAAATAGTTATTGAGCAAGGCTTTACATTATTGTGTTAGCTGGTCTCTCCTCTAAATTGAAGCCTCTAATACTGACTTGTCGTATTATACGGCTCTTCCGGATTCATGACGACCAGCTGCGATGGTGAATCAGCGCCTTGTCCCTCGGCCGCGATGACGATCTGGCCCCTATAATTTGTGCCACCTACAACGGGTTTGTAAGCTATTTTTGGCAGAATTTAGTACTCAGTGTGGTTACCGTTTGAGTTGAGGATAGCAGGCGCATCAACCAGCTGAACGTTCACAGATCCCGAGGCATTGCGAACGCTTGAAACAGCCGCCGCTTCTTCGAGGGAGATCTTAAGAATGACGTTAGACTTATTTAGACCCGTACCGGCAGCTGGTACCCCCGCGTTTTGTACGAAGAACATCTCATCCGTGGGTGGATACCTGGCGTCGGATGCGTCAGACCTGTTGGGTTTCGAGCAGATGAACGATTTACATTAACGCACCAGACAGCAGCTTCGTGAAACATGGGGTTTGTCCCTGTGTTGGCGATGAG